GAAGAAAAGTATATTCAAGAATGTTTGTTTGTTTCTTAATTGCCGAGATGTGTTTCTGATTAACTTCATGTAGGATAACCAGTTGCCACAGACTACTTGACCTAAATGTTCCAGGTTTATTTGTATTGCAAATTTGCAATGGTACAATGTTTAAAAAGTCATTGTTTGGTAAAGCCATATTATCCTGAAACTTATCATCAGTGCAAATAGTGTTATCAGGTTCCTCTATTTGGGAGGAACACTGATAAGTCCAAGTTTGTTTCCTGTGCTAATATATTATTTATTTTAATTTTACTGAATTCCTTTTATGTTCTGATATGTATTTTGTTTTGGACTCCCTGCTTTTAAAAGATATTGATGCATTGAAAAAGAGCAGTAGGAATGATTCTAGAACTAGGGACTCAATTTCTGAAAGAAAAGCTGTTAGGCCTTAATTTATTTTTATTGGGAAAAGGAGGATTGTTGAAACAAACATAAGTAATACCTTCAAAATGCTGACCAGAATTCGTAAAATAAATCTAACCAGTCACATTTGTTTGAATGGTGAGTAAGGAGCTGGAGAACATGCATTCAACATTTAGGAAGCTTCAATTGGAGGCTAGGGGATTCTGTCCTTCAGTGCTACAGAGTAGTATGTATGTGGAAAACCCTCCAAAGAAAAGCAGTTAGTTGTATTGTAATTTAATTGTCATTTTAGAGAGAAAAATGACAGAAAAGAATGAATGGCTGGAAAGGTTCTGGAAAGGAACAGATGCACAGGTAAATAATAAAGTTTGTGAACTTAGCATTATGTTCTCGAGATTTAATTTCAAATTTAACCGATCTTGCACTCCCAGCAGTGAACATGACTTTGAGGATACACAGGTCAGATATTTGGCCAAAATACTAATGTCTATTTACCAGATGTTTTTGCACTCCTGGTTTTGCTTAATTAATGAATTTACCCTCCAGTCTGAGGGCTGTCTATGCAGGAGTCCTCCCTCCTTCCCTCTGGGATCTGGGGTGAAGGGTATTGCACGCAGCAGTGCTGTGCAACCACAGATTGTGGTGGTTCACGGACTCCCAGCTCAACTGTTTGTTTTGTGGCACTGTGGAGTCCGTGGACCATGTGTATATTGGCTATGGGCATTTGCACCTCCTTTTCAGGAATCTTAAGTACCTTCTTTTGTGTTTTTGGTTGCATTTCAGCTCACACTCCTGATCTTTGGGCACCCTGTGCGGAGGGGAGCAGGCAGATCAGAGGATCTCCTCGTGGTTTTGCTCCTGGGCCTGGCCAGGCTGGCAATTAGCAGGTCCAGACAGTGGGTGTTGGAGGGGGTCAATACAGCTGTCTGCCCGCCCCTCTTCCACAGTTGCATTTGAGCTGGAGTGTATTTGGAGAGGGAGCATGCGGTGTCCACCAACATACTTGATGCCTTTAGGGAGAGGTGGGCACCGCAGGGGATGGAATGCTTTAATTTTCCCCTCCAATTCTATTTTGATTTGATCCCTACCCTTCCCTTACTTTTTTTTTTAATAACAAAAAAATCAAAAGGAGCATGTATTGAGCCGAATGGTCTTTTTGTACTCGATGCTTTTTTGGGTTCTTCACAGAGTATTTACTCTATTGGTGATGCAGGCTGCTTAATGCAGAAGTGGAATGAATATTCAGCAATATATTTCATTGGAACACCTATAGCTTACTGGCTCCAAAAGTTGTATTTTTGAGTAGCACTTGTAAGGTTTTTTTTCTGCTAACAGCATGCTATATTGTTGTTGGGATCAAACATTCCATTAATTGCTAAGGAGGATTCTTGTTTAATTTTAAGAAAGATAATCCAGAATAGAAGGTAATTCTTGCGCCATGATTAAAATTAGATGAGTTAGTGTCGATTAGCTTAGTTTGTTCTGTTATAATATCCTGATGTAATTCTGATAATCCGATGTAATGTTCTGGTCCTTTTGTATCAATATGAAAATGTTCTTTTAAAAAAGCAAGACTTGATCTCTATTTAAGAAGTCAAAAAATTTTGCTTTATAACCTATCCTTAAAATGTGTTGAATTATAGCTCACACGCTGTATACTGTAAAGTTCAGACCAGTACTATTTTAATTGCTGAAGTTTTTCTGAGAAATTAAGCTTCAGACTTTAATTTGTGGGCTGCTGTCACTTGCATCCCCAGAATTTAATGTGCACTGCTGGAGTTCAGTAGCTAGAGCAGCTGGGCTGGGCCTGCTACATTAAGCAGGTATCAACTGATTCTCTTTGTAATTGAATGTTGTATTGATTGATGAAATGACAAATTGACTATTTAGATATATTAAGCCATCAAAATTGCACTGCTGTACTTCCTGGTTAAGTGTTTCTTGCATCATGATAACACAACATCCTACTATTGAAAGTGAAACATTTCAGTAGTTATGTTACTGAAATTTTATCTGGAAAGAATACTCAAGAATGTTAAAATTAATTGCATTTATGTAATTAATAATTTGTTTTATTGAATTATAATTAATTGGGCACTTAAAGATTCTGTGCACACATTTAAACATTAAAAAGCTTTATTCACCGGGCCCCTAGTGTATGTTCATTTGACTGGAAGTTAAAATAAAGGGTACCTTTTTCATCCTTTGGAAACTCAATGTCAAAATTCGGCTATATATTGTTTGCAGTATATCTGCATCACCCTGAGGCTGAAATAGTGCAATATTATTTTTCCTTATGTGGAAAATACAAATTGCCATGTTAACACTGTGCAGTTCAAATGCTTGTGTGTTTCTTCTACGTAGAGTATCATACTTAAGAGCGCAATTTGTACAGTATATAACAGCCTTGAATGAACTTTTTTTCAGTTCATGCTACAGTTAATGGAGTGTGGCATTACTTCTATTGGTACAGTTGCTGAATGCTTGAACTAAGTAATGAAAGTTAACAGCATTAAAATTGTGCCTCCATTTTAATGGTTGAAGTTGGTGAAATAGAGGACAGTATGGTTGTGTTGCTCAGCTATGACATTGAGTCCTGGATTGTGGCTATGAACTTCCTTGTGTATTTAGCTCCAATTGCTGTTGCACTATTGGGAGAAGTCAAGGCTGTTCCCCGTGGTGTGTGAAATAATTGAGAGAGCATATTATCAATGGCATTTTCACGTCACCTCACAATCTCTTTGAGGTCTGGGCACTTCCTTGGTCAAAAACAGAAGAGCTGAGAAATATGGAGGAGCAGACATAACACACAAATGAAAAATGTAAACTCGTTTTGTCTATGGTGCAGATAATGTTTTTCTTGCTGTTGTGTCTCGGGTTGCTGATTTGTTGCAGGTTTAAGGTTTCACAGATGCTCCGTAGCCCTGATACCTTTTTGTGTCTTTGTCTAGGTTTGGCAAATTTAGCAACTATTGAGGGCATCAGTGCCAGTTGTTTTTTCACCTGAACTAATTTCCATAAATAATCACAATCCAGGAGATTAGGAGCAAGCTAGTGTTTCTTTTCCTCCACTCTGTTACAACAGAATTGAGAAATCAGTACCAGTCTTGCTATTGCCCTTGGTGAAATCATCTAACAGCACAGATGTAAGGTCAGATCGTCAACCTTCTGATCTGCAGGACTTAATACTGTTTGTTTAATACTACACTGGGCGGCGCCGATATCCACAGGCCTATCAAAGCTGGTGCCTATCTTCTTTCCTTACTTTTACTGTTACGTGGTCTGGTGTGACCAGTTGTCGCGTCATTACGAATACTTTAAGATTTTGTCAAAAATGCAAACAGATTAACTTTCTACAGGCATTCCTTAAGTGAAGAATTGTAGAGAAAGGGCAAAGCATATGCATCTGATATTTATTCTCTCTAATTACAGTATTAATAGGATCATTTGAAATGTAATTAGCTGATTGTTATGAAGTTAAAAAATGTTATATCTAGGCAATAATACATGTTTTGTAAGTCATGGTGTGTATGTGATTATCAAAGTACTGTTAGCACCTCATGCTAAAGGTGATTTGTTTTCTTCAGAGTTATTAAAATTAGAACAGTTATTGTTACTAACCAATCTTATACTGTGTGTGAAGGGCTTAAATCCCATTCTATATCCCAGACTCTGATTAGACCCAATTTCTACTGGAATCCCCAGTAAGCTCTTTGCTCTTGATGGAGGCCACCTTCAATATAAAAGTGGTTATTAGAAATCTAAGACTTTTCCACCAGTCAACCCCCTTGATCTATTCAAAGGCGTGTAACATGTTGTATACAATATCCAGCTTGGGGATCAGCAGCCGAATCTGTGTTTGCTCAGTGCTCAGAAGGATTTCCACTCTTATTTGGTACTGGCTGCTGAGTTCAGTCTCATGCCAGCAACTGTTACACTTCCTCATTAATTTTAAACAGTAAAAAGGGAAGAAAACACAAACCTTCCATTATTAAAATTTTTTATTCCTTTAATAACATGATGCTAAGTCCTCAGGGAAAGGTCAATCATCCTTTAAAAAGTAATTTGACATTCATATTAAAAGCTGAGAAATTGCAAGAGACACTAGGTAGGAGTTGTTGCAGTCCACAAATAACACCAAGCTGTCTTATTCAGTGTGATCTTTAGCTACATTATATTACTTCTTTTTCAGTAATATTGAAGGGATTAACCTCTGTGCCCCTTTGTGATTATTCTGTCATTTTCTTGTTATTGAATCTGCTATAAACCCATCCATTATTTCTCATTGAAACACTCCTTGTTTCGTTAACCCTTCAAGAACAACGGTGCCGTTTGTCAATTAGAGTTAAAGTCTAACACCAACTCTGATTATTAATTTTAATTTTTAAAGTGCTCGGGGGACACTAACTAAAGAAACACTGATTTGGTGCATCTGTGTCTGCATTTACTTTAGGAATAAGAGTTTGTAATTGTTGTAGATTTTGCCTTGCATGTAGGATAACCCAAATGTATTCTGTAAGCTTCAAAAATAATTGAACTTGAATAGTTAAATGACCGTTTTATTTTCATGTGTGTATATATATATATATATACAGTTGGATACCACTATCTTGCATGGAGTAAGAGAATCAGCAACAACCTTGCAAAAAGAATATGAGAACTACGTCCATTCAACCAAAGAAACCCTTCTGCAAGCCAAGAAAGGTTAGTTGTCACCGGTTCTTCAAGTTATGACCTGATGAAACCATTGGTGTTTTTTCATTAGCAAATGTGAATTAATTCATCAGTTCATCGTAAATGAAAAAGCTTGTGCTTAACATTTCTTGTATGCAGTAAAGACATGGAATAGCACAATTCGATATCTACATTTCAAGTACGAAACTGAAAAAAGGATGTTGGATACAGTAATAAATTCACAAATGCCAAGTAATTAATTGATTATTTAAAATGAATGAGTCATGGTTCTGGAACAGAATTGAATTATTCTATAACAGTCATTGTTTGCACATGCCTTGCCGAAATTTTTGCAGGATCTGTTTTATTAGTACTGAGCAAATTATTTGATTTGTTGCAATTGCAAAGGGTTCAGAACCTATTACTCAACTGGCAGCATTCATTGGCGCAGCCAAATAACCTCATAATATTTACAATCATCCTGTTGGATTATACTCTGATCAAAATTAGGCAATCATGTTATTAACCAATATTTATCACATCTACACTTATAGGTAAGGCAAACAATTTTATCTCTCTTTCTGATACATACTGACAAGAAAATTATATAGTATCAAATTTTTTGACCTAGTTTTATTTTACTTTACTGTCCCTACCAGAACAATATATGACTCTCTCCAGCATAGTTTCAAAGTACCTCCTGAATTGAAATAGGCAAATACCTTTGAAACAAAACATATTTATTCTTAATTTTTGAACACCTTCTGAACCTGACTTCTTGCAGTTATCTCGTAACTCTGGATAAATTTCAGGTGGTGGGTTATGAGGATGTGAAATAGAGAAGAGGAGAAAATAAGATGGCACAAAGTTTATTGATACTTCGATTATCCTGCAATCACATGAACAGAATGTTGTACCACTTGATGCTATACGTGTTCGGCTAAGTTGACATTTACAAATTGTATTTGAGTTATACATAATATATGTATTGTCTCATAAGTAGTATAGAATTCATTTAATTAGCACGTGTTACTAAACAATACTTTAAACGTTGAGGCAAGAAAGTGTTCTGGTTGTTGTTAAATATTGTAGACACAATTAGCATAGTTCTCATCTAACATCCACAGAAAGCAATTTTCTTGCTCGTAGCAACCCTTGTTACTTGCATTTTCCCCTTCCCAGTTTTCTTCCATGCTCCCAGTTGTCAATGACACTAAAATTTTTTCCAGAATTCCTTCTGCCTTGGCTATGCTCGGCTGTACAGAGCAGGACTGAGATCGAAGACCTGTCTGGTCTGAATGGTTCAATTCTGCAGTAAGCAATACTTATACTGACTTTGCTGTCGTAGGACTCTTTATTTTAAGATGAAATGAAGGCAGTCTTGCTGCAAAATGAGGAAGTATTGAAATCAAAATAAATTTAATGTGCCCTCTGCCTGTGTGTAAATTCTGACTGGGAAAATGTTTCATTTCCCACTGTAACCATCCCTTATCTCAAAGAGTTCATGTGCATGATAAAAAAAGAAGGTGAATGAATTATTTAAGTGCTTAGAAGGCATTGCAGCTTTAACTCGGATGGTATTGATCTGAAATAAGCGCACTTATCCTTGTAAACAGAGCTTTAAAATATTCCCTAGGTCCTGTCAGCCACAAATCCATAAGATGACACATTTTATTACTGTTCATAAACACTGATGTGCCCCAGCTCTCACTCAATTCTAGTTAAACTTTGTGTAAACAGGTTTTCAGTTGAAGTTCTCCACAGCAGAAAATGTTTTGACAGCAGTCCATTGTCTCTGTAGTTTTTCAAATGTATTTTTCTAAATCTACTATTATAGGCTTGATTTTAAGCTGGATTAATCTGCATTCTATTTTACTATATTTTTGCTTAATCGTCAACTCATTTCCTTTCAGAAGACAGTCTGTCTGTTTCCTGTGCCTTGATACTTTTGTCTTATTAAAATTAATTTCCCATTTTATATGCGTCTATTCAGCATATTCACAGCTCAACTGTAATATGGACTTCAGAATTTCTTCCAGTTAGAAGGAGCCCGTTGTCAACCATTTTAAACCCCCTCCCCTTCCATAGTTATCCTATTAAGCCCCAAGTATGTTGAATAGCAGCTATATTTATGCACATTATGCGCATGATGCCATTTTTGTGCAATTGACCATTCTGACAGCTAGTCTCAGGTAATAGTTTGTGTGTCCAGTACAGTACAAGTTATAGGCAAAGAAATAACAGCTTTCTACTCTGGCCCAACATTAGTACAGCAAATGTTTGATTAACCTATAGGACCAGGAGTGTGCTGGTTGATAAACAGGTCCTCATACTCAATGTGAAAACGTATACTTAAGTAATTCAGAGAGTGTACACATTGCTATCACAACAGAAGTAGCTGGAAAAGTTCAGCAGGTCTAGCAGCATCTGTGAAGAAAAGTTCAGAGTTAACATTTCGGGTCCAGTGACCTTTCCTCAGAACTGATGGCAGCTAGGAAAATGTAAGTTTACATGCAGAAAATAGGGAGGAGGAAAAAGGGTAGGGAGTAAATGATAGGATAAAGATTAGAGTCCAAAAAGAGAGAAGAGCAGTTGGATAAACAAATGAGTTGATAATAATCTGGCTACGAGTGTGAATAGCTGTAAATGGGGACTGCTAGTAAATAACAATAGGTAGTGTGTAATGGCAGGCTGTATGATAACAAGGCCTGGTGGGTGGGGTAGGGAACTGGGACATGGGAGAGTTTAAGCCCTAAAATTATTGAACTCAATATTGAGTCTGGAAGGCTGCAGAGTCTCCAAGCGGAAAATGAGGTGTTGTTCTTCCAGCTTGTGCTGAGCTTCACTGGAACACTGCAGCAAGCCAGAAACACAGATGTTGGCCAGAGAACAGGATGGTGCGTTAAAGTGTCAGGCAACTGGAGCTCAGGGTCTTTTTTGCAAGCAGAATGTAGATGTTCTGCGACGCAATCAACCACTCTATGCTTCGTTTCCCCAGTGTAGAGGGGACGACATTGTGAGCATGAAATGCAGTAGACTAGATTCTGGGAAGTGCAGGTGAAGTATTGCTTCACCTGGAAGGTATGTTTGGGCCTTGGATACTGGGGAGAGAGGAGGTAAATGGGCAGGTGTTACGCCTTCGCCAGTTGCAGGGGAAGGTGCCGTAGGGCTGATACGGGGGGTGTTGGGGGTGAAGGAAGTGTGGACCAGGGTGTCCCGGAGGGAACAGTTCCTGCAGGAGGCGTACAAGGGAGGGGAGGGGAATATGTGTCTGGTGATGGCATCTTGCTGGAGGTAGTGGAAATGGCGGCTGATGATCTTCTGGATGTGAGTGCTGGTGGGGTGGTAGGTGAGGACAAGGGGAACCCTATCTCTGTTGTGGGAGGGAGGAGAGAGTGTGAGGGCGGAATTGCAGGAGATGGATCGAGCCCTGTTGACAACGGTGCTGGGGAATCCTCGGTTGAGGAAGAAGGTGGACATTTCGGAGGCTCCCTTGTTGAAGTTGGCCTCATCTGAACATATGCAACGGAGACTGAGGAACTGAGAGAATGGGTTGGAGTCTTTACAGGAGGCAGGACGTGAGGCCGTATAGTCCAGATAGCTGTGGGAGTCAGTGGGTTTATAGTAGATATTAGAATTAAAATAAAATTTACTGGCAGAGACTCTTCTCACTTGCATCCTGCACTGACTACTCATTCATCATGGAGACCATGACAATATAGTAAACTTCTGGTATTTCAGGGATATAAATTTTGACGGTTTATCGAGAGTGCCGGTGGAAGCAACATTTGCTGTATAAACTGCAACATCAGGACGTCGTTCTTGCTATATTAGTATAGCTTCTTCTTAAGCATCCAGGTGGCTTGACTGAATAAGAATATTGAATTCTGAATGGGCTTGTGCATCCATCCCCTTTTAGTTATTGACTATCCCTTTAAACATTTTGCAGTATCCAGGAAAGAAGACAAATCGCATAGATGTATTGCAGTTCAAACCCAGGTCCCAAAGTTGGCAAAGTTTGGGGTTGAATTGGATAGTTCTGAAAATGGGCCTGGAAATGGTGATTTGACAATTAACATTTGTCATTTAATATAATGTAAGTGCACACAGTCTTCATGCTGCCTGGCTATTTATATGATTTCCGTGCACAAACTAGAGCTTACAGCATTCAGCACTGAGCCAACCAGCCCCCTCAAGAAGTCGCAGTTACTGTGGTAACATGCTCTTTTACGTGCATGTTATGATCCCGACCTGGTACAAGCTAAAGGCTTTTTCCAGTCAGACAGCTGACCAGGATTTTTTTTTTTTCTGCACTTGCTGCCTATCATTGAAGGACAGATTTATAAATTGACACTCAACTTGTTTGTCCACTGTAAGGAACATGGAGCAGGACTTGAAACTGGAGCTTCTGATACACAACCACTGCATCACATTATAGTTTCTGATATCTATTAATCTAACATTTAAGAAATTTCTACCTCATAAAAGCCATGTGCCAAATCTAAGGGAGGAGTTCAACACTGATAAGTGTTATAGTACTTGCATTGTTGGGTGCAACATGAGTAGATTGTGAATCATTCCTATCAATCTTTTACTACTTGTGATGCCATAAGGGGACAGTTGAATTTGGAAGTATTGTTTTTTATTTCCTGTTGAAGAGAAATGTCCTGCCTGCATTTTGTTTGTGTTTTTTTTCTGACTTTTAAGTATCTATTTCTTAGTAAGTTCTCTTCTCTTGTAGAATTATGCATCAGTCTAACCAGTAAATAGTTTATCTCTTTTAGTGTTGCTGACGGTCAAGGCCAGTAAAAATTTTAGGTAAAGCAGGCATAAAGAGTAGGGAATGCAGAAAGAATTCAACCCTTTGTTTTGAAGTAATGAAATCTATTTTCATGTTGCTAAATTCTTTTCTATGCCCACATTTTTAACTCTGATTGTCTGAGTAATAGCAACCCCCTGCCAGCAATGATATTCAGATTTTAAATATAATGGTCAGATTTTGCAGTCAGTAGTATACTAAATCAACTAGCCCTTCATTGCATTCACAGTTGTTCATTGACTTTCTGTGGAGCTAGAAGTTACTGTGTTTTGAGAAACATTTTGAGGCTACACTCCCTGTAGGAAATCTGTGTGAACAAGTTTATGACCTGCTCTCTGAATAACTTAATACATTGGTATATTGAATGATGTGATTATATCACATGACATTACTAATTATTAATCTGGCTTGATATCATTCATTCAGTTTGAGAATGCTAAGTTTGGAATAAGATATTAGGTTTGACATTCATGACACCCCAGTAGCAGGCCATGTTACCAGAAACTCACTTAGTGGTTCAAAAATTCTTCAGCCATAATCTTCTTCCTTCAAAATTTTATACATTGCAATTTTGGATATAATTTCTGATCCCTTGGGATTACTGTATGCAACTGTGCAGGAATTTAAATCATTATCAATTTGGCATACCATCTTTCTATCATAAACAGAGGTGTTGAATAGTAACAGTGAATCCTTCCAGACTCTATTTAAAACACAGTGGTAGATTTTCATTTCTTCATGTATAATTGCTCCCATAATTTGGTAGCAATATGGATTTCTAATCACATTTTAAACATTTTCTAGCTTTGCAGTCATTCATTCGAGCATATGCCACATATCCAACAAACCTAAAGCGTTTCTTCCATGTGAAGACACTTCACCTTGGACACGCTGCAAAGAGTTTTGGGCTCCGAGATACCCCACAGAACCTCAGTAGCACAATACAGGCCAATCAGCCCAAGAAGAGTTTAAGACCGGGGGTAAAAAGGTAAGAACTTGACTTTCCTTTTCTTTAGGTTAACTAATAAAATGTTCATATAGCTTGTGTGTTTTTGTTTTTACATGATATGTAAGTGTGGCTGTGTCTACATTATGCATTTTTTTTCAGTTTCCTACTAATGTAGATGGACTCGAGCATCAAAAAACTACAGCAAATGTTATATTTGCAGCCTTAATTTCAGTCTTGCAAACAAAAATGAATGAGCTCCCAACAAAATTTATGAATGTTGCACCGTAATCTTTTGTCTGCAGAATTCAATTGAGATTGTGAAGATTACTTTAAATATGCACTGAAACCTTAGGTTAGTTGGTAGTTTTACAATGTTTATATTGTAATGTGGTTGTAAATTTTGTTTATCTGGTATTTTTAGATGTTTGAAATGATGTAAGGAGCCTGTTCTTACTCCATTTACTTATATTGTATTGTAAAGTTACATGCTTCAGGATCAAAAAAGTGAATTTTCTTGGGTCTTTACTTTGCTGTAATTTTGCCAAACAGCCTGCAAAGTTACAAAGGCAGAGCGGAAGTAATCACTGGCAAGTTGTTTTGTTAATGGTGACTGAGCAGAGTACATACAAACTACTTTATTTAGATGTACATTTATCATAGTTTGGTATTGCTAACCTGGTGCTTGGTCACCAGTTTAGTACTATTTTCCATGTTATATCCACCTATTTCTGCTCTGTAAGAACGTGTTTTGGCACTTGCAAGCATGATCTTGTTGGATAGGCATTCAAAGGCTTGGTAATTTTCCAGTCTTAGGCCAAATGAGTGTGTTCAAGCTAAAGTATTTGCTTTATGCACAAGATTACGCCAGATAATGATGGATCTACTAGCTACACTGTTGTACTAATACTGTGCTCTGCATGCAGTTGGGATTTTCATTCCCTCCAGGATACAACCTACAGATCCATTATGCATTTGTTTTCTAATAAATTGCTTCTATTTTGTAAAAAATGTAAAATATGTTATTTGGGTGTTAATTGTGTTCAGCCGGTAGGTATTCATTAGAATCTCAACCAAGCTCATAGACAGAAGCAAAGGTGTCTTGTGGCGTAGTATAGTTTACCTACCTTTGGTCGTAAGGTCTGGTTTAAGCCCTATCTGCCATAGAGATGTGTCACAACATGTCTGCAAAGTTTGATTTGAAAGTAATTTAGAAATCGGAGTAGGAGAAACAGGCTGAGAGAGTTGATTGGAACTACATGTAAGGCAGCACATGGCTCTGTAAATAAAATAAAAGTCAGTAACAGGCTCCTTGTGACAAACCATACCTGTTGAATGGCATGCTTTGAATCACCCATAGCTAGAGTGGTCTTTGCTAAACAGGTTCAAACCAAGGCCTGTGTGTGGCTAACCTCCACGTCTGGGCCTCCATACAAACCCTTTATGCTCTTGTGGAGAGACTCAAAACAATGCTGTACATCAGTGGTCCCCAACCTTTTCAGTAACACACTACACTTCAATGAGATAGACAATTCCATGGCACAACTACTTTTTTTCAGCTGAATTGATTGCTCATAAACATCACATTTATTTGCTTTTACTGTGGTTACGGTCTTAATAGAAAGGCTTACAACACTGCGCACACATACAAGCTTAAAAAATATCAAACGTGTTAACGTTTCAAATTTTGATTACATTGATTTGAAATTTTGAAACAAAATTTCACGATGCATTTGGACAGTTCTCAGAACACACCAGTGTGTGGTTGAAACTACTGTTGTATGTTTACCCCTCTACAGACTGAGTTTTAGACTAATCACCCTAAAGTTTGCAAATGAGATGACTTCAGGAACTTGCATTCACTAAATAATGATAATAATAATAATATAAACTGGTGAATGTGTAAAGACAAGACTGTTGTGTTAATTCTTTCACCGCTACCTGAGTTCTAACAATGAGCACTTAACTAAATATAAACTTTAAGAACTGCGGATGCTGTAAATCAAATAAAAACAGAAGTTGCTGGAAAAGCTTAGCAGATCTGACAGCATCTGTGAAGGGAAATCAGAATTAACGTTTCGGGTCCGGTTCTGAGGAATGGTCAATGGACGTTAATTCTGATTTCTCTTCACAGATGCTGCCAGACCTGCTGAGCTTTTCCACTGAACTAAATATAAAGTAATTGCCTTAATCTTCTAAAATAAATAATCTATAATTTATCAGTGTCAAGAACCAGTTAAGAGTGGGTTGGCATAGTGTTTGTTCACTTTTTGGATTACTTAGGTTCACGCTCAGTCTCGACATACATTATCAAAACGTTTTTTTTCCTTTCAGTTCTCTGAAACCTTGCTCTTACTCGGCATGGCTTTGCATTGGAAAAGCTGCCCACATTTTGACACAAGCTGGCACTAGATTGGCATTTGCTCAGAAACCACAAGGACACCGTTTGCACTAGTGCAGGAAGGGATATTTCACAATGGCTAGGGTTAAATCAGGGAGTGGATGAAGTTTTATTTCATAACTGTCCAGATCATCAGTGAAGTCCTGTACTCAAAACAGTGTTTTATTTCTTCACAACATGCATTCTTTACTTGAAAATCAAAATCAGCAAAAAATGTAACTGATCCACAAGTCATACCAATGCAATGGCATTCCAACGTATTTTGGGAAAGGTAACCTGTGGTATTCTATTCAAAATACCATTTGTGATGTATTTGTGTGGGTAAAGGATGAAAATAAATTTTGTTGTTATTTTTCAAGTCTTATGCAATTAATGGTGTGAACACCGTTGATTCCAATGATGATACTGTTACTATGAATCGATGCTTAAACCAGAAGGCTATTCATTGCCCAAGATCAGTTTGTCTGCTACAAACTGGAACTGTTAATCCTTATATTTGAAGTGGGCTGCAGAAACAATTACTCTGTTACCAAATGATAAGTAGCAAGATGTGGTAGATAAAGAGCAATAGTTTTAAACATACACCAATGCTTGACACGGTTTCCCAAATATGTTAATATACTGTTAGCCAATAGATTGCATTTGAATGTGATACTGTTATGCTGGTAGTTAGAACGCAACAGTATCCCCCGAACAGCAAATTACATAAATAGCCAATTAAATGGTCTCTTGATTGAAGGAACTAGGCTTGGAACTAGGAGAATCCCCTTCTTCTTCAAATAGTACTATCATTTTTCTTTCACTGAACATTTTAATTTTCTGTGTGAAAGATGGCAGTTCCAAAAGTGCAGTATCAATCCTCAATATTACAATGAAATGTCTTCGAAATTATAGTTATTTTAATCAACCTGTTTGGATATGGTATGACCTATTTACAGGGCAGGTGGACCTTGAACCAGAACTTTCTGGGCCCTGAAGTAGGGGCACTACCGCTGTACCACAAACCATCCCCCCTGAAAGAAAAGCCTGAGATTACAAGGTGAAGTCTTGGAGAGGACTTCTAACTCTCAGCTATGTGTCTAAGGGGAGAGTGCTATTCCTGAACCAAGCTGACACAACTATCAAAGCGCTGTTTTAAAATTCTGGAAAATAATTCTTTTTTTGCTCAGGACTTTACCTAGGTCTTGAGTGAATGTAATATAGAGTTTTGCTTCACTGCCAAGCTGTGGAAATACAATTGAGCTAAGTGAATTCAAGAACTTAAGAGAGCTAGCAACAAAAATATATCTCCAAGGGGTATATCACACCTCAGATCAAAGAAGATCTATCATACTGTGCAAGGACTTCTGAAGAAAGCCCAAGCTGTTTCTGAACAGGCTGGTGATGAATTCTAATTATTTCTATTACCCAAAGAGGGGTGAGAAGAGAAGAGCACCTTCCTGTCTGACTGATAATCTGTTCATTGGCTCAAGCCTGAAACAAAGGCTTACTGGAAAATATGACAACTGCTTCAGCCTCCATAGTGGATACAACAATATTAGACATGTGGCCACCAATAATATCTCCATTTGAAAATCCAATACATTGGGTGCACTAAAGTTTATGTCAAGATAGAATAATATAAAATTTTCAGAACATTAATTGATCTTTCATGATATTGTACTGAAAAATCAAAACCAAGTTTACGCTTCAAATGAAGCAGAGTTAGGATATAGTGAATAACTGAACCAAAGCACACAGTCCATATATTTTCTATATAACTCATATAATAGATATATTCTATCCTTTTCATAAAACTTAATGTTTTGTTAATCGATTGCACATGGGTTAACAAGGCATAATTCATTTTCCTACTTTTTGGTCATACATTCGCTATCATTGTCAAGGAAGGTGAAAGGTGAAGTTGATTGCAGCATCTAAATTTCTTAGAGTTTTGGGCAAAGAAATTTAGTTGTTACAACACCACCATTTGCAGGAAAGTATAATTATTGTATACCACCTTTACATGAACAATCTCCATTACAGCAACGAAAATGACAACTTACAATGGAAATAAGGTAGCAAATTGAGTGAAACATCACAATCAGAAGTAAGAATTTATGAACAGGAATTGCACATTAAATGTGATTTTTACTATGTTTTGGATAGATTTTCTAAAACTCTGTTGAATTGATATTGTTCACTTCCAAAAGTTAAATAGATACCACATTGATGAATAATTTTAATTTAATAATTTGCTTCTTTCATTTGGCCTGCAATAATGCTTTTGGGTTTTGGGCAACAACTTGAAGTGTGGGAAGAGAGTGAAGGATATTCAGTTCTCCATAGCATAAGTGCATCTTTTTCCCTCTTCGTACCATTGTGAATGCTGACTTTATTGTTTTTGTTGTAGTGGTTGTTATGCCTTGCAGTGACTTTAAATGTCAATCTATCCAAGCATTTTAGCATTTTTTTTTTGCAGTCGAACAAATGTGTGAGAAAGGCAATTCTTAATCTTGTTTCTATGTATGAACAACAGAGAGTTTAGAAACATAAGTGCAGAGTGTGATAACTGCCAGGTCCGAGGAACAGAATATGCCCTTTATGTTTTAAAAGGGCAGGTAAGATGGCCCCATATAAACCTGCAGTTGATTATTCAGAA